TAACAAACGGAGACAGATAACAACCTGTTAACTCCAATCGAAAGCCTTCCATCAAGTCAGGACTTCCACGCAGGGCTGACTTGCCACTTACCTACCAGGCTTGATTGATATTCGCAATTGACTCACAGTTACTTGTGAGTAGTGTGTATGGATAATTGATACTGATTGATTTGACCGATATCCTTCGGACTCCACCTTCACGAATAAAACTCAGTTTATCGATTGAACAATATGCTCAGAAGCACTAGACTAGACTAGGCTACACTAACCTAGACCAGGCTACACCAGAACTGACTGACTATCAGCGAAGACAACAACTGAACAAACAGAATTTGGCAATTTGGTTCGACCATGGCATGCGCTGGTTGGCACAGTAGTAACACGCACTCCTTCCATGCTTGATGGGGCCGGAGTTCCGATTCCGGACTGTGGGACGGTGGATATGCACCACTGATGAACTCTAATTAGAGGGAAACTCCGGTCTAGTGCTTCCAAGTGTATGGTTGTATCGATGAACTGAGGATTGTGCGTGAAGGTGAAGTTCGAAGGATAGTCAGTCCGAAACAATCAGTCTACATTGTTCCACACACACACACACACACAGTACTCAAATGCGAGGATTTCTATAAACTGTAATTTCAGATCATTTTATATCAAACCTGATTCTCCGGGAACCCCCTAAGCAGGATATGCAAACAACTAGGGTTTTCGCCAAATCAAGTGACAATTCATAAGCGTTCCTGCAAAAATAGCATTGCATGGAAATAATCCGACTTCATCTAGACGTATGCTGTCAATAGTCATTTCTCCGGAGTCGAACTAAACGCAATTTTTTAGAAAAATCCGTCACCAGTTTAACGTAGTCGGGACAAAAGTAGGAAAACTCAATTTGGAAAAACAAAGATAAAATTAGCGTATCCGACCTGGAAACCGTTGGGCCGGTGATCTATACTGGGTGCTTGACCAGTTGCCGTGAGTAAATCTGTTAGCCAAAAGAGGCCTTCTGTATGGATTGTAACTTACGCTTTCCTTGTACATTGCTAATCTGAAATCTGTTTTTCTATTAAATATCTGGTCACTGGAAAATCCTGTTTGGGAGTGAATACATTCAATCCAGTGCCTTAAATGCCTAACAACTCCTGACAAGAGTGCATTGCGAGATAGCTTAGTAGCATGTTCTAAGAAAGAGATTACCACGCGAAAATCTACCGGGTAATTGAACTTTTACATCATTTGACTGCTCAAATTTGAAGAAGCTGTCAAATGTGCAACGTTCCGGTAGGTCTAGTATGTAAGAAGTTAGCACTCCAACACACACACACACACACACACACACACACACTGGACACAGTTTAGATTAACTTTCAAGGAATGTGAAAATTATCTGAAGAGGCGATATGTTTCAAACACGTGAGTATGGGAACATTAGGAATGTGGCCCGACAATGGGTGAAAAACAAAACTCCTATATATGGATAGCAAACTGAGTGGTGCCAACAACACCTAAATAAATTGTAGCTGACGTAGCGCAATTGTATCTTTCGTTTCATTAATCCCAGCGAACACATTCAAAACAACAGCGTGGCGAACAAGCTCGTTTTCAGTTATTCGTAATCATGCCATTACATAACATTAAATATGACTAACGATAAGAAACGAAACAGGGGATGGGAAATTCGAGTCCTAATGATTCAGCTGTGGCTCCAATCATGCGTGCGTGTGTTTGTGTGAAATTGTATCTGCCAAGTTGTGGCAGCAGTTTGTTTTTAACGGGCATCGATGTGATTTTTTGGTGGCTGGAAAATAAACTACGAGCATGTGTGTGAATTTTCAGCAGTTTACGATTTTTACAGTGGATAGAAAAAAAAATTGCAAACGAAAAAGGCAACATAAGAAATTCTACATTTTAATAAATGAGAGAAAAATTAATGCGAGTTTTTCCCTGATCTGAGTGAGAATATTCTGAAGATTTACTAGTGACCGAGCTAGATATAGAATTACACTGTTTCGATATGTGGAAGTCCGCTCAGGATGGAGGTGATATATTCAGAGCGAGTTCGAGGATTTGACAGGGCTTTCGTGATTTCTTAGTGCAGACAGTGCCCTTGTGTCACGTGTTATCTTGTCAATGAATGTATCACAAGCGTCAGGATCCTTGAAAATAAAGAAATCAACTAAAACAACTCTATCAACTCCACTGTAGCGGGACACAAGTTTAAGGGATTTGGAAAATAAACTGAAGTCTTTTTCTTTCAATCCAGGGATAAAAATCGGGGAGAAGTATAGGCAGTATGGAAGAATGCGGGCAATCACAAATTTAAGAATTAGATTATGTGGTACGGCCAGTTTCCTGAGCCTGTAAGCATAGAAAGACAGATTTCGAACTTTTGGGAGAATGTTGATGACTTGAGCAGACCAGGACAGGTTATGGGTAAGGATGACACCAAGGTATTTAACAGATACAGATTTGGGAATACTTTGATTGTTAATTCTAAGATCAGGGAGATTGTCAACTAATAAAAGATAACGCGGATCGGTTTTAAGACTAAATGGAACTACAATGCACTTGATGTTAAGTCCAAGGGATCAAGTCACAGACCAATCCTGAAGTTCATTAAGACTGTCCTGGAGAGGTCGAAAACTGTCTGAAATAGGGGCTGGGCAACCAATCACAATATCATCAGCATACTTACAAGCAATAAAGTTGGTGGGAATGGGCAGATTTTGTATATAAATAGAAAACGAGAAAGGGGACAAAATGGCACCCTGAAAAACACCGGCTTCAATGTTAATAGAAGAAGATTGTACACCACTGAGTGAAGTAAACTGAGTCCTGCGGGAGAAGTAGTTGATTAGTACATTCAAGACTTCAGGTGTCAGGCACACTCAGAAAGACGTTCAATAAGCTGTCGTTGGTCGATAGAACCAAGAGTTCTCTCTCTATCGATTTCACTCACGTGACGCGTCCTTTCAAACATAAGTATTGCACTGTTCTTGCTGGCTAAATCTGAATGGAAGACAGGATGTTCGAGCGCTATTCGTTTGAACTTGTTCACGAATTTTCGTGGATTACGACCCACACGGGAGCAGTGTGATGAGAGCTCAAATCGGGCCACAGCTCACCTCGCATCGGATGTCACGTGATTGGTGGGTCTCGCTATAGACCAGTATCGACAGATTATTGATCTGTATTTCAGCCACTGGCCCTGTAAATCTTGTTCATACAATTACAGTCAGCCCATTATAATTTAGTGACTTGCGTTCTTGCGAACCAGGGACGCAGAGTTATAACAAGCAGCATTATATAAACCCGGGATTCTGTGAACTCACAACGACACCAGGTTCATTGAAACGGCATTTGCCCAGTTTATCTTTAGGACAATGACACCGATCAACCAAACAGATATCAGCTTTCATATTGAATCGGTGGTGATACTATCCCAACACATGACCTATCAGCCAATGTGATAGTGAGTAATAACATTTGATCAATCCTGGAAATCTGCTCATGGGATTTCATTACAACTCCAAACGGAAACGGGCAATTCATAAGAAATCTAATTAATGCTATACTTTGGGTTCGAAGTCACCGAATAAAGTCACATCAAATTTACGAAATTTTTTGTCCGTTTTAATTATTCTCATCGGTAGCCTGCCCACTGAACTAAGAGGAGTGTTCTGTTTTAGGCTTTGTTCCCGACGCCACATTGAAGGTGTAGTAAACACGAATGAAACGTTTTTTATCAGCTCAAAAATGAACGCAGAGAACGAAATAATTTATAGATTAGGACGGTGAATTTTGTCCCAAACAACGCAAACTAGATGTTCGTGGAAAAGGTGAGAAACACCTTGATGTATCTGTTTAAACTTTGAAACAGTACAAACTTAGTGACCAAGGAGACTTTATCCCCGAACCTGAATGAACTACTCATTCAATTCTCG